TATATTTAATATTTAATATTTAATTTATATATATAAATTAAATATTAATATTTTTATTTTTTCACTTTTATATATATTAAAGTTTGTTTATTTATATTATACAATTTTTTTTATATTAAGAAAATCCTATTATTTAAATATTAATATCAAAAAGTGAAAATATAAAAAAAATAATACCTGTTTATAAAATTAAAATAATAATATTTTTTATTTTTATTAATATTAATATTATTTATTATAATTAGCATCATTATTATTTATTATGATTCTTATTATTTTTTTAATATTTATTTTTATTCTTATCATTATTTATTATTTTTTTAAAAATTATACTTATTAATATAATTTTATTGTAATTATTATTATTTATAATAAATAATATTATACTCATTTTAATCTAAGGGTAAAAGTATAAATCATATTTATTTATTAAATTTTTAATTTTTATCTATCATTAAATTTAAAGTAAATATTTAAATTAAATTATTTTTAATATTTTATAATTTTTTAAATTAAAATTTATATATTTATTTTTTAATTATAATAATTATAAACTTTTTTAAATTAAGGGTAAAATAGTAATCTTACACAATTATCAATTAAAAAATTTATTTTTATCTATCACATCAATCAATTCACTCACAAACTTTCACAAACTTTTTCTACACTTTCCACTCACTTTCCTTTAATCCAAACAACCTCACTTTCCACTCACTTTCTCTTCAAATCTTTCCTTTTCCACTCCTCCTTTTCCATCTTCAAATCCAAACAAAGCCTAAGAAACATGAAGCATTTCTCTCTCCCGATTGATTCCAAAGCTAATGAAAGAAGGATCTAGAAGATTTTAATTAATATAATATAATATAATATATATTTCTCCACACAAACCAGTGGGATTTATTACTTATTAGCCATAGCTCTATCATGATGCTACTCTGCACATACTGCACCCTAGATCGATTTGACATTAGTATAAATTAGTATATTTTATTCCCTACATTTCTCTCATTTTAAACAAGAAAACTAAAATACTTATGTTAAGTAGGGTTGTTCAATGGGCTTGTTCGGTCCTTTAGCTCAACCCATTTCAACACAATAGATTTATCTAACTAAATTTGCCTTCTTAAGTGTTCAAATATTTTTAGCTCCACCTGCTCCGTTATAGATTTGTGGGCTGCACGGATTAGTCCATCTAATTTTTTTTAATAAAAATACCTAATTTAAAATTTTTTAATTTAAAATAAATTTCAATCTGAAATAACTTTTAGATAAAATAAAAATTGTTAAACTAAACAATTGTGTATACAACATTAAATTTAATAAAAAATGTACAATTTTAAATAATTAAAACAAAAAAAAATAAAAATATATTATTATTGGAGTAATCGTCCATCAATATTGAATTTCATTAGATGTTTGAACAGATAAATTTATAACAATTTCATATTATTGAACATCAATTTTATTTTTATCTAAAGAAAGTGGTACCTTTATAAGATAATATATATGTAATAATAAATAGTTAAGTTGATCATCAGTAGGTTAGATTAATAGGAGGCATAAGTATGTTAGATGCAGGAACGGATCTACTTTTTGGAGAGTGGGGGCACTTGCCCCCATTACTATTTGACACATATATAATTTTTTATTTAAAAAATAATATATTTTAAAAAATAAAAATTATATTCTAATAAAACAAATACATATTTAAATTATCATATGTATAAAATATAGATTCAGAGAAAATGTTTATTTATTTGATGTCTGTCAAACTTTTAAAGGAGATTAATTCTCTTATGTGATAAAGAATACTCTTTAATAATGAATTTAAAAAAAAAAGTTTAATTATAATATATATATATATATATATATATATTAATACTCACATATATAATGTAATATATTAAAAAAATTGATAAAATAAATTTTGTAGTATGCATGTTTACCTTTTGTGTTTTCTATTTATTGTATACGTTGATTAAAAATATCAAAATAGTAAAATTATATATGTTGATTAAAAAAAATAAAAATAAGAAAAATTGAAAGATTTATGTTTCATTTAGAAATGTTATTATAAAATACTAAAGAGGCCGAGACACTTCGTGTCTCTAATAGTTACATGGACGGTTACAATTTTTTGTATATTTATATTTTCTCCATTTTATCTTTTATCTATACGAAGTTATTGCATAATCGAAGGGTAAAAAAATCTATAAAAAAAATGGAGACAAAAGTGATTATTTAAAAATATATTTCCTTTATTAATAGTTATAGATATTTTAAAATAAATTATCATCTAAAAATATATATTAATATTAAAAACTAAATAAATTAAACTTGATTTTTATAAAATTTAACATATTTATTTTTATATTTTTAATAATATTAAATTATTATAAAGTAGGTCTTTAGAATTGTACCCAAACATTTAAAAAATGTCTTATAGATAAATAAGTCATACTTAAGATATATATTTTTAAAGAAAGTTAGGTTCAAACCTACTAAATTATAATAAAATCTAATCTGACATAATTTATTTTCATCTTTAATTATAATCCTAGATATAAAAACTTGTAAAAAATAATTATGATATATATTTATGTCTATAAAAGCTATACATAAAATTTTTAATACTACAAATATATAAATAAGTATTGCTCTCACTATCTAAAATTTCTGGATCCGTCATTGGTTAGATAGACAATTTGAATCATTATGGGTTGAATCCGAGCGAGTCAGATCAAAAGTGGGTGGGTTGAATTTTATGATCATTTATGAATTTTAATTTTTTTTGTCCGACTCGATTCATTTTCAAAATAGACCAAATTGACCCACGAGGCAAAATCCACTTTGATAATTCTACGGTTAAGTACTTCATTTTATACTTAAATAAATATATATAGAATAATCCTGTGCCAACATCATAAAAGATTTCCTTAGTGTAAAACGCTAAAAAAATAATAAAGATTAAATTATTATTTATTTATTTATTTTTAAGATTTAATTTAATTTTATTATTTTAAATAATTCAATTTAGTTTTTTAAAAATTTTCATGTTATCCTTACATATAAATCAACGTTAATGATGTTAATGAAATTGGATAGAAGGATAATATTGAATATTTTTAAAAATTAATTTACAAAAAATATTTAATACGTGAGTAGGGCCTCTTTTCGCCTCCGCTCTATTGAAAGGTCTCCATTCCTACTGAATGCTCCTTTACCGAGCAGAGGACTAGCTTTATTTTTTTTAGACTGGCAAAGCGTCCCAATGTCACTACCAATCCATCAAAGCTTTGGCCTTCCACCAAATCCTTTCAGACTTCTCCCCTTGGGGCTCTCTCTTGGCTACTTTCGCTCCTAAGACAAAGAACCACCAGCGGCTCCACCTAGTTTCCCCGGTAGCCTACCAGTGAGAACTACTAGATGTAGCTGTGATACGAGTATGTGTTTGTGACTAAGTAGCACAATTTGACGCCAAAAACAAAGTTCCCATTTTTCGTTTTCATTCCATGAATTACGTAAAAGCATGTACGAGGATAAACGGCATCGGAACTTTGGCATCTCCAAAACGACACTTTCAGGTCGATGCTTCCATCATCAAGACAGGCTTCGACCCCACAACGTACCGTTCCAATTTCCAGGTGAAGACTCTTCTACAACGTGGGGATTTGGATGCAGCACTCAAACTGTTCGACGAAATGCCTCACAAGAACACCATCTCCACCAACACCATGATCATGGGTTACATCAACTCTGGCAATCTTTCCACTGCTAGGAGCATGTTTGACAGCATGCTTCACCGCACGGTTGTTACATGGACAATGCTGATCGGTGGCTATGCTCAGAACAACCAGTTCCGTGAAGCCTTTGGTCTCTTCGCTGAAATGTGCAGGCATGGCACGGTTCCGGATCGTGTCACCTTGGCCACTCTCTTGTCTGGGTTCACTGAATTTGAAAGTGTCAATGAAGTGGGACAAGTGCATGCCCAGGTTGTCAAGTCAGGGTATGATTCCACCCTCATGATTTGCAACTCTTTGCTTGATTCTTACTGTAAGACGCGTAACCTTGGCTTGGCTTGTCACCTCTTCAAGCAAATGCTGGAAAAAGACACTGTCACTTTCAATGCATTGTTGACGGGGTACTCCAAAGAGGGGTTCAATCATGATGCCATAAACCTATTTTTCAAGATGCAGGATTTGGGGCTTAGGCCAACAGAATTTACTTTTGCTGCGGTTTTAACTGCAGGGATACAGTTGGATGATATAGAATTTGGGCAACAAGTTCACAGTTTTTTGGTGAAGTGTAATTTTGTGTGGAATGTGTTTGTGGCTAATGCTTTGCTTGATTTCTACTCTAAGCATGACCGTGTTGTTGAAGCTAGTAAACTTTTTGATGAGATGCCGGAGGTGGATGGTATCTCTTACAATGTGCTTGTCACATGCTATGCATGGAATGGAAGAATGGAAGAATCTCTTGAACTTTTCAGGGAGTTACAGTATACTAGATTTGACCGGAGGCAATTCCCATTTGCTACCTTGTTAAGTATCGCTGCAAATGCTTTGAGCCTGGAAATGGGTAGGCAAATCCATTCCCAGACTTTAGTAACAAATGCCATTTCAGACAGTCTGGTTGGAAATGCTGTGGTTGACATGTATGCTAAATGTGGCAAATTTGGGGAAGCAAAGAGGATTTTTGCAGATCTGGCTCATCAAAGTTCAGTTACATGGACAGCCCTGATCTCGGGTTATGTTCAGAAGGGACTCCATGAAGATGGCCTAAAGCTATTCATTGAGATGCAAAGAGCCAAAATAAGTGCTGACTCGGCTACTTATGCCAGCATCTTAAGAGCCTGTGCGAATCTAGCTTCACTGACACTGGGAAAACAGATACAGTCTCATATTATCATATCCGGATGCTTTTCAAATGTTTTTTCCGGGAGTGCACTGGTTGACATGTATGCAAAATGTGGATCAATAAAAGATGCACTTCAAATGTTTCAAGAGATGCCTGTGAGGAATTCTGTCTCCTGGAATGCACTGATTTCAGCTTATGCACAAAACGGAGACGGCGACCATGCTCTTAGATCATTTGAGCAAATGGTTAATTCAGGTCTGCAACCAAATTCCGTTAGCTTCCTTAGCATTTTATGTGCCTGCAGCCACTGTGGTCTAGTTGAAGAAGGACTACGGTACTTTAACTCCATGACTCAAGTGTATAAACTTGTACCAAGAAGAGAGCATTACGCATCAATGGTTGATATGCTATGTCGCAGTGGAAGATTTGATGAGGCTGAGAAATTGATGGCTCTGATGCCTTTTGAAGCGGATGAGGTAATGTGGACATCAGTTCTCAACTCATGCAGGATCCATAAGAATCAAGAGTTGGCAAAGAAAGCAGCAGACAAACTATTCAATATGGAGGTCCTTAGAAATGCTGCTCCATATGCTAGCATGTCCAATATCTATGCAGCAGTTGGTGAATGGGAGAATGTGGGAAAGGTGAAGAAGGCAATGAGAGAGCGAGGGGTTAGAAAGGTGCCAGGATACAGTTGGGTTGAAATCAAACAGAAGACACATGTTTTCTCAGCCAATGACATGTCTCACCCACAGATGAAAGAGATAACGAGGAAGCTTGATGAACTGGAAGAGCAAATGGAGAAACAAGGGTATAAACCTGACTCAAGTTGTGCCCTTCACGATGTGGACGAGGAAGTCAAGTTAGAGTCACTAAAATATCATAGTGAACGCATTGCCATTGCCTTTGCTCTCATTAGCACCCCAGAAGGGTCACCCATATTGGTATTGAAGAACCTAAGAGCCTGTAACAATTGCCATGCTGCCATCAAGGTAATCTCCAAGATTGTAAACCGGGAAATCACCGTCAGAGATTCAAGTAGATTCCATCACTTCAGAGATGGATCTTGTTCCTGTAAGGACTACTGGTAGATTGTCTTTGTTTCCTCAACAAAATCATCGTTTTTGTTAGAAAAGGTAGAAAAACCTTTATTATGGGTTCGTTTTCATTGCTAGATCACACACTTTTCTTCTATATTTATTTGTACCATTATTTATACCAAAATCTTCTAAAGGCCAAGAAATTCTTATTTTTATTCTTTCCATACAATAAATGTCGCACAAATTTGGATCCTCTTCTCACATGTTTCATCCGGCGCTAATGGATGAAACAAAATCTCAAAGAAAGTTTCTAGCAAGGATTTTAAAATTTCGGCTACAACATCAAATTTGTCTAAAATTTCTCCCAGCATCAAATATCCCCATGAAAACTGCAATTTAAAACTTTGGCTTCTAGTAGTAGTAAACCGATCTTGTAGCAGAGACTATAATATTAATCACTGAAAGGAACTATAATGACTGGATTTTGAGATTCTTATAGATTAAAAACCTAACATTGTAAATTTTGGATCATAACTATGGAACCAGGGGAGCTCAAAAGCAAACAAATAACAATTACGACAAAACGAGCTTGTATATTAAGCATCAATTGAAATCTCAATACTACAAAATTATCCACTAAAAGGCAATATATAGAAACCGAATTGAAAAATTAAAAAAGAAATTACTGTCTATTTCCTAAGCAATTCATCGGGAACAACCCTAAGCTGTTTCCTCTGCTTGGATTTTGCAATCTTCTTCAAAGTATTAGGGTTTGTAATCTTCTGGAACTTGGTTCCAGATCTGATAATATTCTCCTGCTTCTTCTTCTCCCTCTCCTCTTTCTTCTTCCTCTTCTCCACCTTGTTCAACCGAATCTCCTCCTTCAGCTCCGTCATCCTCTCCTTGTACGCCTTCTTTATCATCTTCTCCCTCTCTCTCTGCTCGAACGTCGTCCCCTTCCGGCTCACCAGCGCCGTCGACGCATAAAATTATAATTATTACTATAGTATAAAATTGACTGAGGTGGACACCAAAGTCTATTCAATAAAATATTTAATTTTAATTATAATTATTGTTATAGGTATTATTATTACTATAGTATATACTTAAAAGATTTTCGGTTGGATATTTTTATTCTGGAGAAGTAATTTAAAGATATTAAGTTGTCACAACTTGTATATTAAATTCAAAGGTTAAAAAGATGTCACATCTATTAATCATTCCTCCAATAAAATCTTCGATATAATCACTTCAAATATTTATATTGAATATTGTGATAATACTTTTTTGATGTTTAATTATATTTTGAATTCAAATAAAGATTTTCAGGTAACAAATTGTCGCAACTTGCACCTTTAAGCTCTAGAATCAAGAGAATGTTTCATTCAAATAATTTTTTTAAAATAAATGATAAATATTATTAATATAAATATTGATGAAAAAAACCCATAGTTATTATTATTATTGTTGTTATTATAGTAACTATTACTATTATCACTATTACTATGATTATAATTATAAGTATTATATTTATTATTATTATTATTATTATTATTATCTACTTTTATGTAATCCTGATTTCCTTTTCATAAGACCCGACTCTTTTTAGATGACTACTCACTTTTGTAAATTAGTGATTTGGTTAACAAATGAGAGATAATAATATTTAAATACCAAGAGAAAAAAAGAAAAAAAGAAATGAACGTACGGAAAGGAAAATAAAAAATGATGCAGTAAAGAAGGAGAAAAGGAGGGGTCTCATCCGCGTACAAAGGAAAAAAAAAGTGAAGCAGCAACGTACAAAAGGAAAAAATAATAAAAAGAAGTGAAACAGCAACATACAAACGGAAAAATAATAATAAAAAAGAAGTGAAGCAGCAGAGAAGAAGAAAAAGAGGGGCCTCATCTGTAGCAACGTACGAAAGGAAAAAGTAATAAAAAGGAAGTGATGCAGCAAAGAATAAAGGGGGAAAAGATGGATCTAGTAAGAAAAGATAAATAAAAAAACGATGCAATAGAGGATAAAGGAGAAAAAGGAGATCATGCACAAAACTTCTAGGATGCTTCGTGGGAAAGAGAAAATGCAGAATATAAAGGAAGAAAACAAAGATCAAACGTGAGGTTTACCGGAAAAGCTTTACGGGAGAGAAAAATGTGTTGGGTTCTTTTTCTATGTTCTCATCTGGGTGAACTTGAAGAATGTTGGAGTGTAGGGGTGGGCAACGGGCGGGTTTGGTCGGGTTCGGGTGAAAAATGTTCAACCCGTTGTAAATCGACTTTAGAAAAATGTGACCCATATCTGGCCGACTGAACTTTCGGTTTGAACTTGTTCGGGTTGAAACGGATTCGGATTTGAGTGGGTGGGTACAATTGGGTTTAAGATTTTCTATAGACTAAGTTATCTTAACGAAGGTGAAGCTTAAAATAGTAAAAAAATATTTTTAAAACAGTGTACAAAAATAAAATGAAGGTGACAATAGATGGTATAAATAGATTGGTAGATGAAACATTCATAAACTAAAGAAGTAAAAACAAAAGATAACAAAATTAATAGTTATTACATGCAAAAGAAATCTAAAGTTAGATTACAAAACCCATAAGAAATCACAACTGCACAAGATGTACTCAAAATGGACATAGGAAGATGGAAAAGAAAGACAAAGAAAGAAGCAAAAAGAAAACTCTAAAAATGGACTAGTGTGTTGAGAAGTTGAATAAGGAAGGAGAAGACAAAAGAAACATCTGGGTTATGAGAAAAAGAAAAAAAAATAAGTTATAAATTGGAGGCTATATTATACTTGAAATAAAGATTTTTGAGTTTGGATCATTGTTGCTTAGTTATACAAAAGTAATACAAATTTAAACTTATCTCATTTTCAGTTGAGTTCGGTTTTTAGCGGGTTTAAAAATTCAAAATCGAACCCGTCCAATATAACCCGTATAAAATCAAAATTTTAACTCAATTTACCCATAAAACCCACCTGAACCCACCCAAAAGTAATATTTTTTATCGAGTTTTTCAGGTTCGGTTCGGGTCTCAGTTTTATGCTCACCCCTATTAGAGTGAGATGGCAAAACAAACAAGCAGCTCCAATGTCAGTTCAATGTTGCACTATTGGGCTCATTGGAGAGTTCAATATACTCATTATTCTTCACTCAAGAAGTGGTAAGAAGAAAGAACTGAGGGTCCCCTTTTCCTTTTTTTCTTTCTCCCCTTTATAGAAGAAATGTATATAAGGCCAAAGCATGCTGCCAAAAAATGACAGTTTGCTTAGTGCAGTTCCAAGAATTACTTTATGCATGGCACCAAAGCTAGATTTTTATACTAACATAGAAACCGTAAAAGATTAGGAAAAAAGTCATACTGACTACAAAACATATATTTGTTGATACAAAGAAAGATTTGATTTTCCTATTTTTTTGTCTTTTTGATTCTTTCTTTTATATATTATTAGAATTTAAATCTGGTTTGTAAAATATTTTTATTATTGAATCATTGACTTGAAAACTTTGAGAAAGAAATTAGTGGGAAGATTAATGAAACAAAATTGGTGTTTATTGTTATAATAACAATGCAAAAAATGCAATGTGAGTCATGTGACAAATGTCTCATTCAAGCAATGGCTGAAGAGCTGATTCCATCATGCAACTCTATGCATATAAAATGTAAATGGTGCTATGGCCCTTGATTACATAAAATTTAGTTAATCTTGAGACTAAATTGATGAGTGTTCTCGTGGCACGGTTAATACCAACCAATCATACCAGAGTATGCACTTTAATTTAGCAAAACTTGTTCAGATACATTCTCAAAGCCTGAACATCAATGTCATAATTTGCAAATAAAAAAGAAAATACAAGATTGCTGAATAAAACAAGTGATAATGTATTGTTAATAAGCTAACTTGTTCAAACACAGCTTATTGGAGAGACACATAAATGCATAGACAAAATTTTGCATTATGTTGAAATACAAAGTAACTCATTTCAATAACATTTCTGTCCACTCCAAGCTCTTTCAAAATTCAAAAGTACTAAATTAGACCACACACAATGACACAAAGAGAACTTTTAAAGTCAACATAAAATGTGATTTTCCTTCATTCTTTGTAAACGTTTTCACTAAACGTAGAACAGCAAAAAGGAAAATGAATTGGCCTTACCTAAGATGGAAGTCTTTTAAAATGTTGAGCTCATGAATATTATTGACATTAGTTTCTCTACAGTATCAGGGTTGTGAAAGCTTTCCACTTCTTCATATTCTTCTTCCTCTTTGACAAACACGCACTCTTTTTTCAGATCCTCTGCTTCACCAATCCTAATCTACTTGATATGTGCTATTTGCTTCCAATACTTTCCAACTCCCACCTCAGCTTGTATTTTCTGCATAAATCAAGACAAATTATAGTTTCCAAGTTCTCAAGATCAGTCAGTTAAAGGGTGGGTGATTTCATAAGAGACTGTAATAATGATTTCAAAGGAGAATTGTTTAAAATTAAACTTTAATTTCATCTATTAATTATTTTATTTATTATTTAAAAGTTATTATTTAATCATTTCATATATCTTATAATAAGACATCTTCATATTATATGCGCTTCATATATACTGTACGGGTAGGGGCATTTAGCCACCCTCTTATCGGTTGCCGAAGGGCTGAACCAGGTGACCGATTGTCAATCGGTCACCTGGTTCGGCTTATCTCTATTAGTTATCTTTAATAAACCATTAAAGGTTAATTAGCTGATTAAGAAGTATTACCTAATACGGTAAGTTTTTACAGGGCTCATAAGGTCCAAGGCCCACGATTGTCAGTATAAATAGCTCAGGTCAAAAGGTAATGTCACTGTTCATTAATTACCCTAAATATTCGTGTTTGTCCTGACTTGAGCGTTGGAGTGCCTTTTACAGGTACCAACCCTTTCACTAGCATATCGGATCGGAGTTCTCGTTCGGTCTTTGGACTACTAGAAGACTTAGTGTGCCCATCAGACAGGTACATATACCAACATCATCTATGAATTATATATGCGCTTCATCTTAGTAAGAATTCACCACATCTCAACATCATATTATTAAAGAATAGGATGATGTAATAAAATAATTGAATTATATATATATATATATATATAGTTAGTGTAAATAAGTTTTACACTAACGTTGTATATAAATTAAATTTAAAAAATAAGTTATATTTCACTAAAAATAATAAATTATAATTAATAATACTTATTAGTATTGTTATTTATTCACATATTTTTTTGGAATTAAATTATTCAAAAAAAAATATAATATCTAATATTTCAATGGATAGATCGAATAAATTTGTCTTTTATATATTGCTAGTAAAATGTTAGAAATCATAAATTATAAAATTTTGATCAATAATATTATAATTGATAAGAAAATAAAACAATTTAATAAATCATATTAACCTAAATATTAAATATAAATTTCTCCTAAAACTAGTTTTTGTCACAAGTCTGCACTCAAGAAAGTTCAAGTAAAGTACAAGTGCACAAGTACCTAATGATATGGGGATGGAAATTAATATTGTCACACACATGAATATGAGACAGAGTATGCGCACGGACATTTTTTTCAAAAACAAGTAGGAGGGTGAGTACTATAATACCTTGTCTATACCTCACACATTGTTATCCAAATTCAAATAAATTTAATTGTTATCCATATTCAAATAAATTTAATTGTTATCCTAATTCAAATCAAATAAATTTATTCAAGTTGAATTTGTCACTATTTTTTAAGCTAATCCAACTTAAGGTGTGTTTGGAAAAACATTAAGTTAAATATAACTCACGTTTTTTCTAATCCATCAATATAGTTATTTCTCCGTTTTGTGCTTTGAAAATCGAGATTGTCCGTTTGAAGCTTCTCAAACCGAAATCTAAACATACACTTAGACTAACCACAGAAAATATGAGTTGGGTAAAATTACGTTATCAAGGTAAAATAGTTATAATTTAAATTCTCAACCAAAAATAGTTATAAAAATCAAAATAACATTGAAAAAAAAAAAGCATAACTTTCATATTATATATTCTTTAAGTTCTAAAATAATATTAATAAAAATTAAAACTAAAATAGAAATAATAGAATAAAAATAAAATTTTAGATTGTGCAAGGTTTTTATTATCGGTGATTGAGTTGGGTTTGAGGCTATGTAATCTAATATCCAGACCAATAATTGCAAGTGAACAAACGAAAAGATGTGAAAAGTGATTACACAAATCATAAAATCTTGAATTTATGAGTTATGATACTGTTTAGAAGCCTTTTTAATTCTTTATTTTTTTTATTTTAATGCCCATTTAGAGATTTATTTTAATGAGCTTATTTTCTTTCTATTTTTCTTCTGAACTTTATTTGAACTTATTAAAAAAAATATATCTTTGTTAGGACATTCACCCAAGTCAACAACCTATTGTTATTTATCCTTTAGGTTTTTATCTACTTTATAGGCAAAGATTAAGTTATGGTTTGCCCAAATTTTTTATAAACCTAACAGTTACGCTAAGGTTAAATTTTAAAATAAGAACTTCAAAAATATATAAAGTTGTCTGACAATTTTAACGCTTAAGAGCTTGTTTAAAATTACAATTTTGTTTCTCTGTTTTACATCAATTAGTTTTAGAAGGGAGGATAAGAAAGACTATGGTTTGCAACTTATTTCCAGAGTTACTTCAATTAACTTCTTTTCTTAAGATAAGAAATAAACAATTTATTGCATCGCTTAATAATAAAGTTAACAACATAAGTTGGCTTTTGTGAAAAGCACGATTGAGAAAAATACCAAAGCTAACTCCTCAACCTACAGATTTAGCTAACCTATTTGATCTGGGCCTAAAGAGGAAGGCCTTTACAAAGGAGAACAAGAAGCAATGAATTTACAAACTGCAAGCTACAGCAACTACGGTTGGTTCCTCTATAAGGGGGAAGCGTTTATCATTTCAATCACATCATTCCATGGTGGAATCCTGCTGAATCCAATAGCACAGCTTTAATTTGCTCGGGGAGCACATCCTGGCCTTCTATGCATTGCTGGTAAGAAACAAGAAAGACTTTATATCAAAGCCAAAACTTCAGATAGTACACAGTTAATGATACCTCAAAATTTGAACAACAGTAACTTTGGAACAAACAAAGAGAAGCCTCATAAGACTTCACTTAAGTTGATCTCTAAACGTTTAAAGTCTATTCTAAAACTGGGGCCCCTATAATCTAACACACACTTTATGTATTTGACCAGTTGGATGGGGCTCTCAAACTCAAGATTGTCGGCATAATTTTGGAAGACAAATTATTACTACATTTCTCATCAGAAATCAATATTGACTACACAATGTGTTGCATCAACTACAATCATCAACACCACCAAGCCTTTTCTCTCACTAGTTAGGGTTGACTACATGGATCTATCAATGCTATTTGGCATAACGTACTAATGCCCAAATAAATATCAATAACAAGCATGATAATAAAAAACATTATTAATAATAGATTGGTATAGGAGAGAGAATTATACCTCAGCTTTGAACACATCCAAAGCAAAGCCATTAAAACAGCTAATAACAGCCTGCTGTACATCCAATCCGAGGTTATCCAAAGCCCTCATGGTAGAAAGCAAAAGACCTGGTCGGCGGGTGCAAAACATGTGAATGTTGACGGCTCTGCCTTCTCTTACTCTAACTTCAACCTATAAATCCCAGAAGCACTATAGTCAATTTAATACAATCTACTCAATCACCAATTCACCGTGCAATTAAATTCTGTCAGCATAAAAATATATATCAATCTAGTTGGCAATCATAAGTTGCTTCTTAGGCTCTGATAGGAATACAACTGCTGGGCATCCACTTTGTGTTAACCAGAGAAAGAAGACAGGCAAGATGGGAAGAAGTAGTGGAAATGTGTTAGAGAAGTCTGTTAGATGAAAGAGAGAAGTGTCGAGCCAAAATGACAGGTGGCAGCTGGACATTAAATAAGGGAGTGCAGGAGGTATGAGAAGAGGTGTACATTTTTCTCTGCTTTCATTACTGTAATTGAAGCATTGTCCAACACTTTCTTAGTTCCTACTATACCAGTTGCAACACCAGTATCATCATACACCTTGTGGATCCACATCACCGCATGCCATGAAGACATACTGACTAGTTATCACTAACAAGTTCATTTCATAGTATATAATTATATAATTATACAAATCTGAGATTAGCAAATATTGGATGCATTAGTTAGAGTTCAATGACCAATTGATATGCTTGAAACAAAATTACCAGGCAAGTTATGACAGAGCCGATTCAAGTTTGATTCAGTTTAGAACATTCCAACAATGCGTATAAATTTAGGACCACCCCAACCAGTTGACCTTTGGACCTTGCAGATTTCTTTGTGAACCAAGAAGTTAGATTGGAACAGTTCTTTTTGAAAAATAATAATAGCTGTTTTCAAAAGTTCTATCAGGAAGCTAAAAAAACACAATTTTTTCTTGAAATAATTGTCTGACAAAATAATTTTGGCCTAAATCAGACCAGCATGATATTTTGTGTGTAAATTGACCCGGTTTTGCATGCTTGCCTGTTTGGCCCACATAATCCTTTGGACCATAACAATATTTGAGCTCTGGCCAACAAGGCCCAACCAAAGGAATTGCTCTGGAGAAGCCAGATAATTTCCAAGGATCTAGAGTCTCCTAATTTTAAATTTGGGGTTTGAAGCCTACAAATGTTGTGTTTTCGAAGAAAATTTGGAGAAATTTAGGCCTTGGTGTTAATTTTTAAGACCAGACTGATAGGATTACTTGACTAAGAAAATTCATTTCTAATCCTTATCAGATCTTCTGTCTCTGCATCATTCAATTTCAAACTATTTTGAGGAGTTATCTTTCCAAAAGTTTCAATTGCAACATAATTCACAGGGTCTGCAAACATACAATTTTCACCTTGTAAAAACAACAATTTCGCAATCAAAAAATACCTTTGCAGCTTGGTTTTTAGGACTTGGCAAGGCACCAGGATATAGTTCATCCTTGACCCGGGTAGGAAGGGTTGATGGAGTGGGTGTCAAAGGGTAAAAGCTTGTAGAAGTAGAAGGTGGCAGCAACGAGCCAGGTGGAGTTGACTCCAGTTCATTATGAAGATCATTAATCCGCTGCAGCAACTCCTTCAAGTAGTCAATTGCATCCCCAAGTATTGAAGCCCTGTCCATCTACAAACAAATGAAAGAACATCAGCATGCACCATTCCCAGGTTCCTAACACAAAGAAAGTGTCTTAGCCTTAATAAACCAGTCGATGACAACAACAATCAGACCAACAAAGCACTCTGAAACTACAAATTCATTCAAATTGTCATGAATACAAAACCCCACACCAGAGTCTCCACCAAACATAAGTGACCAAACGGCATTTCTCATTACAGGAGATAATAATAATAATCGGAAAAAGAGAGAGAGAGAGAGAGAATAATGTCATCTTAACACAAATTTCTCCATAAACACGTAAAAAAATGAATTAAACTTTATTTGCAAGTTAAAATCAATTTATACATGTCAGTTTTTGCAACTCCATAAAAGGCACAAATCTATGATATTTTTAAAGAAAAAAACTTATAAACAGTTATTAGTGTTTTTAGTACTATTTTCTAATTATAATTAACATTTAATGCAAATATTTATCATCTGAATTAGTGAGATGAAACTTACATTTTAGTTAAAGAAACAAAAACAAAACACCTAAAAAGAACAACATCAAATTATTTAACTAAAAAAAGTTAAGCAGCACCTTAATGAAACCCACAAAAATAGAAAACAGAAGATTGAAAGAAAGGAACAATGACTAAGAAAAGCATTTATTATGTTTTGTTTTGACACGTACCTTGCTAATCTTGGGGACAACAGACCTGAGCATGTACAACCTATCATTGAGCTTCTTCCTGCGGCGTCTCTCCGCCATGAGATTCTTAGCAGGAAGACCCTTCTTCTTCTTGCCCTTGATATCCCCACCACCATTATTATTCTCACTCCCCTTCACACCATTCCCCTCATCAGACTCATAATTCAACCCCGAAGCATCCAAGTCAACGCTACTCCCATCCTCGCCTTCCCCCTCCTCCCACTTCCTCCCCGTCCGCCTCACCGTCTCCAGCCCGGGAATCTCCGCCGCCCCCCGCCTCTCAAAAAGCGTCTTTGCTGCTGGTGTCCCGTCCGCAAACGGGACAGCAGCAGTCCCAGTCCCAGGCCCAGTCAGCGCTTCGAGTTCCGTGAAGTCGAAGCTAGAGTGGGCCTGGGAAAAGAGATTAGGAGGGGGAGTGGGAAGGGAAGTGTCGAGGGCGAAGTCGAAAGAGGAGTCAAAGGGGATGTTATTGTTGAGATAAGGAAGTGAGAAGGGGTCGAGAGGGGGGAAAGAGGCCATGGCGGTGTTGGGGGGTCGAGAGGGGGGAAAGAGTCCATGGCGATGTTGATGTTGTTGAAGTTGAAGTAGGGAGGTTGAAGCGTGGATTTATAGGGAGCGTGAGCGTCGATGGCGATGATGGCATTGGCAATGTGGTCTTGGTGTTGGGGTTGGGTGCAGGGTGGTGCTGGAAGCGTGTAGTGTTCCATCACTGAGAAAGTGTGAAACGGTTACGATGATGTTTGTTTGTGCCTGGAAAACGAATGGAGAGGCTCTAGCCTGTGCTTTATCGTTTATGTTTGTTTATCCATGTGCTGATGTGCCTCTCTCTCTCTCTCTCTCTCTCTCTCTCTTCCCTAATGTTTATTTAACGCTTCAGATGATTATGTCATATCGTATCGTGCTCTCTTCTGTAACCGTCTTCTGTTAAAGTTTCATAGGGTTCTCTCTAACCATTTCTTACTCCTCTTTCCAATGGAATTATTAGACGCTTTGTTTAATGTGATGTCGCGTATTAGACTCTTCAGAGTTAAGACACGCAAATAATGTTGTCATTACCAATGCCTCCTTTTATATTTTTGTCTTGGAAAACATTTCTGTTAAAATCTAATGTGGAATTTGGTTATTTTAATTTTTTATTTCAAATCAAATCATCATGCATTGATTATTAAAATTCACATTCAATAAATAACAATTAATAGATCCAGAAATTTTATTTTAGTAGAATCAAGATTTTTTTTTTTATAATATTTGTGTATTAATATTTTAATATTATAAATAATTTATTATTATTTATATTTTTATCTCTCTTTTTATCATATTATATACTAATCTTATATATTTTGCTTTTTTCTTTTCTTAAGTGTAAATTAATATAGAATTTTATTTATCAAATTATAATATTTTATTTTAATAAATTTTAGAGAGGTTAAAAATATATCTTTAAAGTAATTTTAATATATTTAAAAAAATTATGAACGATAATTTCTCTAGATCTCCTCTCTTTTTGTCTCTAATTATGTCATTAATTTAATGTTAAATTATGATAAATTTTACAATTTTAGTGAATTAAAAAGACTAAAATTGATTATTATTTATAAAATTATTATTTCACTTTCAATTATGTTTTTGTCTAAATATTTTAATTTTTTAACTCAGTGTTTGAGAAAGGTGAAATGTTGAAAATAATTTCGAGAAGAAGTTTTAGCAAATGCACATTATTTACTAATTTATATTTTTGATGTTTTAAATTTAAATCTGAATTCAGAAGAAAAAAAAAATTAGCGCGGACAAAAAATAATTTATAATATTTATATATAAAAAAATATAATAATTTTTTTTACAAAAATATATATTTTCATAAAATAAATCTAAACTATTAAAAAAATCATAAATTTAAGATTCTTTAGTGATTTAGTGATTAGAGCAATAATTTTCATTTCTTTTTTTTGTTTTAATTTGAGATTGTAATGAAGTTTGTACTTGTAATATTTTATAACTTATTTATTATTAATATTAAAGAAGGAAAATGAAACTACAATGATCGACTTAGTGATCAAGGATTAAAATAATATACATTAAATTTTAACTTCAAATTATTTTATTGTTGTCATTATAATTTTTATAAATAAAAAAAAACTAAAATGTTATAAACTAAAAGGCTAAAAGTAATATAATTAGTATTATTTTTTTACTTTTTATAATTTTTTGTACTCATTTAAAAAACTTATTTTATGAAGATAATACTTATTTTTTGAAAGAAAAAAAATGTTTTTTAAGTATATATAATTAAAATGTAAAACATTGTGGAAGCAATTGTCTCTATTGAACTTAACATAGTCCCGATCTAAATTACCTTCTTAATATAAAAATTAAAAACATTAATAGTAAATTAAACTATGATTAAATCATTCTATTGTATTTGACTTATAAATATAAAATCTCATAATATTTGGATTAAAAGCAAATCAATTTCTAATTAAAATAATGTATACTCAACCAATCACAATTAAATTATGAATACTACACAAATAAAATAATAAATAAATAGAAACAAATAAAGTGTAAACGTATGTACAAATATTTGAATTATCACTCTTTAAGGACGGTGGAAAAGTTATAGAATAATATTTAACGACTAGGAAGCTCTTATATTAATGTATAAGAAGCTTTACAACATTGTTAGTCATGTGACAACATTGTATTTTTTTTTTCATCAAAATATCGTCAAAATATTTATTTTATTTATAAATTATAATAAGTAAAGTCTTATTTCCATACAAATATTTTAGATCTTTATCTTAAACTAATTTGATTAAGTTAAAAAATAAATAAAATCTAGTTAAAAATTATTTGTTAAAAATTAAACTCAGATACTATTCAAATAATTTGACCTTAGATTTAATTGAAGTTAAATTATGTTAAATAATTTGTTATAAAAAAATCTTTAAATTAATCTCTTAATATTGATAATTATATCAACATACTGATTAAGTTAATGGAATTTTTTTCTTCTATCTTAAAAATTATTTATATAATTTTACTATTTTAAGGATTATTTATAAAAAAAATAATAGTCGAGGAAAGAAATCGATGTTTTATTTATAATATTGATAAAATAAACAAAAAGTTAATTAGTTAGTTTTTTTTTCGTTCATGGAGGGTCAATAGCAGTTGGAGGCACCTTAAAAAGTGGGATAGCTGGCCCCAAAATTTAACACAGCTGCATACACGGGGTAGGATTCGAACCTCTAACCTTGCTTAAGCGTGGATCAACCTTTACCGTTGAATCAGACACTTGGGGTTTAACTAGTTAATTTGTGTTTTTTAATGTTAAATTAAATATTATTTATTAATAATAAAAAAAAATAAAAAAAAATAAAAACAGCTCTTCATTTTCTTGCTCGCTAAAATTTAACTCCCAAATATCCCGCAAATATTAAATTCTTGGAACTCCCAAAATTCTTGGGATCTGACATTCTTTTCATTTATAAAAAAAAATAAAAAAATTAACTGTTACCCTTGAGCACATTTGTATGTATCACGTTTATCCATTTTTTAAAGAACATTTAGTTTTTTTTTCACTGAAAATATCCTCTAAGATTCATTTAAAATGACTACTATATTTTTTAACAAATATCTTTTCATATAAATCAACTTAAAAAATAAAATAAAAATTCGAAATTTTGAACACATACACAAAAGATTATAAAATTATCTTCTAACCGTAAGAAGAAAATTTAGTTGAGGTTGTAAGAATGGATCATCAAACACATATTACTATATACTTTAGCCCTTCTAGCAGAACTTTGGGGGCATTTACTATATGTTTAAATTGATCTGTAATTGAAGTTTTTGTGCCAAGATTTTAGTAAAATCTGATTTTACTTTGGTCATTAAATTTTAAATAATAAATGTTTTTGGCATAGTTCATGTTATATTTGGTTTAACAAGTTTGTGAATTTAGTTAATTATAATAGGACGTGTCTTGCACTCACACTTTTAGATAAATAAATCAAGTTGCAAATACGTAAGAATTCTATGAATGAAGAAATTAATCTTTTTAAAATCTTTTCTTTGAATTCAAATTTCTCTTCTTAATAATATTTCAGCTGTATTTTTTATTTTATTTTTTGGGTAATTTTTAGTTTGAACTTCTAATCCTCTTGTGTAAAAAAAACATTGCAAAAGATTTGACCAAGTGACGTGGTTATTGAGAAGAAATATTTGAAAGTTGAAGATCTAAATTAAAGGGAGCACCCAGCAGCCAATCTTTAATGAAATCACAGGGTCGTTACATGTCATTATAATTGCTTTTCATTAGTTTTCATTTTGAATGATCTCTGACATACATGCATATATTATTAATTCATAGGGGAAGATATACATCCATATGATATATTGATGTAAGGTAGGAATTGTATCCAACACATATGATATGCCATTTTAATTTTGTAATTTTAGTTTCTTAATTTTGGTAAAATTCATAATTTTAACAAAATTTATCAAAGATTAAAATTATAATATAATGATAACATTAAATAAATAGATAATAATTAATATTGAATAATATTTAGAAGAAGTTTTGTTTTTGTTCTCAGTTTTATTTAATTTTATCTTATTTTATCATAGCTATAAGGTAAAAATAAAAATTAATTAAATTAATTATGATGAATAAAAAATAATAAATTAAAATATGATTTAAGTTAAATATTATTTATATCAACATTTAATTTATTAATGTTTCAATTTTAATAAATAGAATAATCCTAGCATCATATTCTCTATTGATAAATATCTAATTGTTGAATCTGAATAGTAGTTTTTATAAAATTGTAGAATTAGAAATTAAAAGTCGAAAATCATATATTAAATATTATAAAAAGAAATTAAAATAATAATTTAACTTACTTGTTTTAGAAAGCAAATGGTTTTTTTTTTCCTTTTGTCACTCTTGCTTCATTATTTCTAAAATATATTATAGACTTTCCATCATTGAGGCGCTTAGGCCATAACTTGCTTAATTTCAAGAGAGTGATACTCAGAATCTTTTTATATTTTTTCTCATTAAAATAAATTGAGAATTTAAGTCTAATTTTAGCCTTTTTTAAGTGGTTTTTTAATCTAATTATTTTTCAATATTAAAGACTCACAATAATTTTTTTTACAAATTTTAAACATATATATATATATATATATATATTCATAATTTTAAATGATTAACACAACTAAAAAATCTTATTCAATAATCACATTAATTTGCTTATATAACCATATATTATTATTTGAAATAAGACTCTCTTTTTTTCACACAATGATAAAATAATACACAAAAAATAATTATAAAAATAGATAAATATCACACAAATTTATTTAAAGTGATTCAATGATCATCGAAATTCAATTTTTCAAACTTTATTACAAGCTATCTACAAAATTTGATAAACATTTTCTTCATATAAATCTTATTTTATGTAAGGTGATAATCTCTCTTTATAAAAACTTATATTTTAACCTTTTTATCTTATAAAAAATATTTAAATTAAATATAATATTTTTAATTCAAAACAACATCTTTAAGCAAATCTAAACCAATATTTAGAATTTTAAAATTTCTAACAATTATATACTCATCTATTATATCAATAAAGGAAATGTATCTTCATTTGTTGTCCACTTTCTTTCTTTTTTTATAACTTTTTTACCCTTAAATAAATATTCTTTAAACATCATGCTTAAATGTGTAACTATATACGTTTTCAACTAACGCGTCTTTTTAGTAGTTGTATAAAAGTTTTTATTGATTTTTATTTTTTTTTTAACCGCAAACCACCATTACTATAAAAAGATATCACTATTTTTATTTTTTATTTTTTAAATATTTTTTTATTTAAATAAAATTAATAAAGGCTCAAAGTTCCTTTAGCCGCTAATTTAAGCTAACATGAATTGAAATGAGGGTGGTGGGTTGAAGAGGAAAGTGAAGCCAAATTTGAAGTTGCCATTTGAAGGAAGCAATATTC